TGGTCTTCTGTGGTAGAACCTCTTCTGTCAACACTTGCAGTATTTACTTTTTCCATACTTTTATATTAAATGAAATGAGAGCTAACACACCTGGTACAATCTGCATTCCAGTAGTTGAATATGGGTGTTATCCAAAGCTCTTGTATCCTTTTTCATCCTTTTCTTTGATCCCTTTGCAGTTCTCTTTGGTGTTTCAAACGRCTGAATTTGGGTTTCATTATTCTCAAAACCTCCTGTGGAACAATCTTCTTGGACGAACATATTTTGTAGCTCTCTACTCATTGTCTTTAGGTCTTTATCCGACGGGAAATCTGATATAGCCTTGTYTATTGTCATCTCAACGCTTTGTTTCTGTGCTAAGATCACATTTAGCTTTGCCCTTATACAATCCTTGTAATCCTGTATGTGATATTTGAACAAAATATCACATCAGTCTGTAAGTAAGTACTATGTAAACCATAATGTAACACAACCTTTAACCCAAAGCTTTGTAGTCAAATAATAATTGGATACCTACTTTTTAAAAGGTATTTAATCAAGACAGTGATGGATAACACAATGATTAAGTTGGTTGAGATGATGCCAATAATTATTTTGGGTACCACATGAAACCATAGTTTTGTACATGACAATGTATCTATGTAACCAGTATGAAAAAACACTTAGCATTGTTCAACACAACATTACACTTAGCATTGTTCAGTTCCCATCTTTGTCTACACACTGTATGAAAAACACAACATTGTGAACAAAATCTCTTAAGCATTGTTCAACATTATTCCATATAGTTTGTGATGAAATATTGATCTACAGTACATATATAATATCATACATCTATTTAGGAAACTCTAGTTGGTACCACACTCAACTACAATGAATCAATGTTTAAGAATAAGTAATGGATAACATCAATATTCATTTTGTACCACACTCAATCACAATGAATCAAACAGATGAACTAGGTCTAATGTTTAATCTACATACAAAGTACTTGAAATGTATTTAATCAAGACAGTGATGGATACCACAATGTTCAAATTGGTTGAGATGATGTCAATAATTGTTTTGGGTATCACATGAAACCACATATTTGGACATGACAATTTATATATGCAACCAGTATCAAAAACCCTTAGCATTGTTAAACAGAACATTACACTTAGCATTGTTCAACTCCAAGCTTGTTTACACACAGTATGAAAAACACAACATTATAAAAAAAATCACTTAGTATTGTTCAACATTATTCCATATAGTTTGTGATGAAAGTGATCAACAATACATATACAGTATCATACATCTATTTAGGCAAATCTAGTTGGTATCACACTCGACTACAATGAACCAATCTTTCCAAATAAGTGACGGATAACATCAATTTTCAATTAGGATCACACTCAATCCCAATGAACCGAACAAATGAACTAGTTCAAATGTTGACTCTACATACAAAGTATTTAAAAGGTATTTAATCAAGACAATCATGGATACCATAATGTTGAAGTTGGTTGAGATGATGTCAATAACTGTTTTGGGTACCACATGAAACCAAAGATTTGGACATGACAATGTATCTATTCAACCAGTTTATTGTGTCCAAATTTATTGTATTTTGATTAATGAACATAAGATGAAATCAGTTTCATAAATACCTCCAACTTCGTCTTTGATGAAACTTTCTTAGTCACGATTCGTTCGACAAAATCATCAGGGGATCTGTCCTTTTCTGTTCCAGCATCACCAATAAGTGGCCAGGTTCCAAAACCACCATCTTTTAGCTCCAAATACTCCCTACATCGAAGGTAGTCCATATTCCAAACAGTTATAGTTGGCCACCTTCTTTCAATGTCAAACTTCTTACATTCTGTCATATCCGCATACAAAAGCTTTGTACGGTAAATGTAAAAATTTGTTAGTATACTATGTCAATTATATAACACAAAAAGTTGCAAGTAAAAAGACACGTACCATCAAGAAAGTTATTGGCCCTGAGTAGAACGTCTCAATGTTCTTATCACTGTTCAACGTATCCTTGCTGGTTCTTAGGCAATC